GCACAACGAAATGCTCTTTCCAAAAAATGCATGTAGTAGAGCAACGAAAATGTTTTAGAATAAATAAAAAGTGAAAAGTAAAATTTTTGGTCATAAGCTGGTAAACAAAGTAATAAAAAACACTATATAGGCAAAAATATTCAAAACAAAGAAAATTAAGAATATATATTTTATAGATAAATGACTCGGGAGCAGTATAAAAAATAATGAATGTTGTACAAAATGTTTCTCTTCACATAGACAAAGAACATCAGAACAGAGGCGCTGCTTCGTTGCTCGTGCCATGCGGTGAAGCATTGCGTGGTTTGTTTTTTTTTTTTTTGCGAGACAAGTGTACTTGTACCTTTTTTCTCAGTAAATTTTTGTTGTGTTGTGATAAGAGTTACCTGGTGTTCCAATAGAGATAGATGGATGCCCGTGATGTGAATAATCTCTTTATGAATGAGATGCCCAATGAACTTCGCTATTTCATCTAGCATCACCTCTTTCCATGAGCCACCTTACACCGCATAGGTTGGTGTTTCAATATATGCATCCAAGCATATTTTTTAGATTTTTGTGCATATCCTAATAAAAAAAAAAGACAATATCGCCGCAGTTCTAAAACGTTTTGCACTGCTTCGTATTCAGGGCCAAGATGTGCTCCGGGGCCTTCTAGTTGTTAGGAGAAGCTCTGCAGCCAGTTCCAGCACAATGCGCCCCAGCGAAGTGTAGATCACTCAGGTAACCAGAGTAGCTATAAGATTGTGCGAAAAGGTCAAAAACTATACGCACTTGCCACAGAGGAAACTACTTGACGATGTAAATGAAACAAACCCATGAATGGCTGTAGATGTATCAGGCTGAGGCAAAACATCGTCACCATAAAAACTTGAAGCAGAGGTGCTGTCATCCTCGAACGTTAAGCTTGTCGTCACTCAATTCAGGTGAAGTTGCAAGACAGTTTCGAGCAGCGCATGTGTTTTTCAGCGCTGATGCACACCCATGCGCATGTGACGACATCATAGGAATGACTAGTGACACTAGATGCGACCCCGTGTCTGATATATGTATTTACTCGCATAATCCTCGCACTTTTTTTGACGGAAAACCGATGCAAAGTTGGGGGGTGCGAGAATAACGCGGGGAAAACTTATGGGGAAAGTGGTCGCAAATCAGGATTCTCACACCAGCAACTAACAGCAAGCTTTGAGAAGCACTAATTAAAACTTACTTCAACAATAAAAGCACAGGTTCAAAACAAGGCAAGTTTTATTTGAGACACAAAAAGTGCAAGAAAATAGTCGAGAATTAGAATATCAAACGCAAAGCTTGTGGGTGTTGCGGGCGTAGCGGCAGCATTTGTCGCTCAACAGGAGCCCTCAAAAAGTAAGCGTAGGACGACAGTATTGGGTTAGAGGCTATTTAACAAAATCGTCTGCAGTTTCCTTCAGAAGAAATAAAAAGTTTACCATCAATCCCAGTTTTAAGCACACGGAAGGCCCAACATGTCTTGGTGGCTTTCAGCTGCCGTCACCAGTAGCGAACACAAAACTCGTAGACTCCGAAGGCCCTACCGGCAGCCCTGTTGCCATTGTTTAGTGCATGATCTATCACTTTCAACTTAAAATTAGCCGTGTAGCTTTGATATCCCCCCAGAACGGGACAAGATTACCGACACAACATACAAAACACGTCGCAATGCGCACTTGCCACTTTGGCCTGGCTTGGATCGAATTGAATATTCGTGCAATAACAGTAGGCTTGATGCATAAGAGATGGCGCCAGATGATGCATGCTATCATCATTAGTGGTTTCAATGAGCAGACAACATTATTGTGGCAGTTTTGGGTGGTACGATAATTACTCGAGGAAAAAAAGAAATCATATTTATGTTGGGCGATGTGGGGGGTGCGAGAATCATGCGAGTGCGAGGATTACCCGAGTAAATACGGTAATGATGCAAGCAAAACCAAAGCTGCTGAAAACTCTCATAAGGCCACCTCAACACTTTAAACACACGGCAGACCTTCACAAATACTTTTTGTAGAACAAATTTTTCCCGACTCCTTGGAACAGCTTTATATTGAATATATGGCATAAATTCCTGGCTATCATTACTGCTCAACATAGTGAAACTGTGAAGCTGAAACTTTAATTTGATATTTGCCTTGCAAAGGTTCTTTTCATTACATAACTTTGATGTTACTGTACCATAATCTAGAAGTGCACACACTTTTGTCAAGTTCGCCAGCCTAGTACACTTTTCCAATAATACATGCACACTAGTTCACGCAAAGGTCTGTCAAAAATCACTACGTTACCGAAACAAGCAATTTCAAATTGATTCTGAAAGTTCAGTGCCTTGAGTAACTACTAGAAAGTGCCGGGTGCAAGAGAAAGGAATTTAACATGCCGAAATCAACGATCCAAAAGTGCTGATCACCGTTGATCAATCTGGATAGGCATGGTAACAAAAGAGTTAAGAGGGGACACGGCTTTGGTATCGTGAAAAATGGCAAAAAAAATAGATTTTTTAAGAATCAAGTTTTCAGTTTTTGGAACGCTTTTTTGTATCTGATTCCAAAATATCGACACTGAAAACTGTGCAGAAATGCTTTAATATATTCGTTTCACCCTCCTAGGTAGCAAAAATTTTTCTGGAAATGGCGAGAAAACATCGATTTTCAAAAAACTATGGCTTCGCGAGGGCACGATCCGAAGCAGTCTTCTTGGGCTCATCGGAAAGAGCGTTTCTCCATGTTCCAATATCCCACCTCAGCTGGCTCCTCCCTTTATTAACAAGCACACAAAAAGCAAACATTTCAAGGTCATTTCGAGGCCCCCGATTGGCTGTGGCCGGCATCGGCATGTTGCCCCAGCTGGCCTTGCCATCGGCCCTATGCTCACTCCGGGAGATCGTCGTCTGCTGCTTGTGCGCCGCGAGGACATGGCTGTCAAAAATCGCTACTTCATGACGTGTTCATGGCTTGACGATCACTTAATATATAATTACGCTTTAGTTAGGAGCTGTAAGCGGAGGCCCAATAAGATTACTAGGAGTGGGTGCGTAGTCTACGAGCTCTGCGTGTCATCGTGAGGGAGCGCATCATCGGAATCGTCTTCAGGCCAAAACTCTGCCGACACTAGACTGCGAGCAAGAACGACGCACTAGCACACTCATGGCAATGTGCTTTTTCGCAAGCAACAAAGCTGTAAGTGGATTCATGATCAGAATACAACGAGCAGTCAAGCGCGGCACGTTATCGAAGTTGTCTTTAGGCCTAACTCTGCTGACGACTTGACGAACTTTGTGGGCAAAAACGTCGCGCTAGAGCACTTGTGGCAACATGCTTCTACGCAAGCAATGAAGCACATCACTCGCTAGCTCCTCGGAACCACATACGGGCATTTTACGCATCGGCAGCAGACCTCACTGTCAAGCTCGCCAACCCCCCCCTCCCCCCTCCCATCTACTGCCAAGGATTGCTCGGAACAGGGCCTAGCAGTTTGGCGCGTTAGCATTCGAAAATGCGATACCAAGCGCAGTGCGAGCCAGTTTTTGTCATCGTCGGTACACATTTCGCACAGCGTCGCCGAACGCAGCCTGAAAGTGCATCCCACGCCGGCTGCGCTGTTCATGTGGCCGTGCATTTCACCGTCATATGGAGGGCTGTCGCTTGGAGCCTTGCTTAGTATCGCCGTAAGTGTCTATTAATGTTCCGAGACAAATTGAAAGCCTCGTAGATTAGCGTTTCCTTCACCGGCCATACGATGACGCACTTCACGACTACAGTGACAAAAAAGCATGTATGAAGCAGGGGCACGAGTTTTTATATGCCTAACTCGCGTCATTAAATAAACTGCTAAAAAATTTCTGTGCCACCAGTTTTCTGTCCATAACAGTTAGTCATTGTAAAGAAGGCATAGGCTGTCATGGTGTGAGCCATTTTTCTTATGCAATGAACTTCTTTCTATAAAATATTGCCCAGTGATTATTTGTAAACAAGAAGTACCTAATTACTCTAATAACAGATTGAACACAAAAAATCTAATCATTTCAGTATATGGCCTTATTCAATTACAATCTATTCTGTCATTCCTACTATCACGCCACTCCTTGATATGGAAAACTTGGTTTAAAATCCATACTTGTTCTTTGTAGGTAAAAAAAAAGGTTATAAAAAATAACATAAGCTACAAAGGCAGACTGGACAGAGGCCAGATACCCGAGAAGTCAAATATCACAAGACAAACCTAAGATAACAATTTTTACTTGTTTTAGAGATGTGAGGAGAATGTAAAACTTCAAACACAGTTTCCTCGATACTGTTTCTTTGGCATTAGGCTCAGTCCGTGGAGCGCAGATATCTCGGCAACCACTGCCCAGAATTTGATTCCGTTTGTTCCGTAACACTCCTTAAACTGTACTTCAGGAGGCTGAGATCTTAGTTTTTCATTTTACTACCTAAAGACTTTTTCGTGGCGTTTCTTGTTAGTAGTGCAAGTATGCTCATCGCAGTGTCACTAGAGAAAATGTTAACTACAAAATTTAGTGTTGCAAAAGAATTATTGTGAAAACACTTCCCCCTTCAGCATACATTTGGCTGCGTGTTCAGTAACAACGAACTTTTTTTGTCATTTTATATACCCGCCAGCCCCTCCACGAGGTTTAATGAAGAAATAATTTGTGGCTCATTAGGTTTTTGTGTTATCACCTCGAAATTTTTATGGAAGCTCTGTGGGGCCATTTTTAGTGTCTGTGCCAATTTTCATTAACATCCAACAAGAAACAAGAAAGTTCGTTTCAAAAGGCACGTCCCCCCTTAAGTATCCTCCAAGTTATTGCAACTTATCACCTCTCTTTATGAAAATATTTGCACGCTACGGACCTTTGTCACCCACCTCGTTCAGAAGGCATACAAGTATCTAAATGAGTAATGAGTAAATCAATCAATAATAAAATGAATAAGCAAAGCATGCACTAAAGACTGGACAATCAACAAGAAAAATTGGCTCACCAGAAGTACACAGGGAGAGTTGTTCGCAGACTTCTTCAGGTGTAAATCCCTGCACGATGAGCTGCACCAGCTGGTCATAGTAGGTGTTGACTGTGTCAGTGCACGTCTGCTTCAGTGATTCCGGCAGCACAGAGCACACTTTGTCCAAAAGTTTTTTCACCTCCTCCTGTGCCATCAACCAGCACAAAAAGAACATCACCAGTCACAGTGAGACATAGTGGGTGTGTACTAAGTAGCGCAAGGTAAATTAGTACAGGCCTGAAGGCTGTAAAAGTAAGGCAATTATGTGCCACATAACAAGAACACAGCAGCAATAGTCACACGCATAGTTGGCAGTCAAACTAAATGCTATGACCTACAATCTAGCAATTATTTTTACAATGTTGCACATATTAGAAAAGACTGCTAGTTAACGTGGTAGTTATAGAAGCTTCCTTAGTCACTAGAACAAGGTAATAGTAATGTTACAGTTGTCTTGAATGAAGACAAAAATTAAACTACCATGCGCTCAGAAGTCCTGATAAAACCCAATAAGCTTTTAGAAGTTCTGATAAAACCCAGTAAGCTTAAAGGGACACTAAAGGCAACTATTAAGTCGACATTGATTGTTGAAATAGCAGTCCAGAAACCTTGTAGTGTTACTTTTGTGCCAAGGAAGGGCCAATGTTGAAATAAAATCCCGTTTTAGTGGTCCGCATTGGGTTAGCAGACTTCAAATTTCTCGCCTCAAGAAATGGACTGACTCTCGTAACTGTTGCCGTGCACAACGTTGTTTGGCTTCACTGCGCTAGTAGCAGCAGATTGAAAGCAGCAGGAGCCACAGCAGCAACAACGGTCATTGATCAGTTTTCCGCCATTGGGTCCGAGATCGGAGACGTTTTTTGTTCAACTGCGCCCCCCTAGATGGCATCACCTGTCCAGTGTAACTACACAAAAATTGAATTTTGGACCACTTGCGCCATTCACCATAGTAACGTCCAACGGTTCTTTTTTTTATGAATCAAACAGAAACAAACAAGCAGCATTTTATTGTGTCTCTCGATGTATGGAAGGTTATTTATTTAGTACAGCTAGATCAATTACTTGCGATTAATTGTAGGTGGTCCGTCTGATGTCATCGGGAGCATTTTGAGAATGTCCTACTTTAGTGTGCGTTCTTGTGCATTTACCTTAATTTATGGGTAAGTATGGCACTGTTGCTGATAATATTGTGATTTTAGCTGTTGTCATACATTCAGCTTTCACTCCCACTTAAATTGTTATTTGACTTTAGTGTCCCCTTAACTTCTTTCTGCAGCTTGGTGACAGACTTAGCAGAGTGGTTTAAGGAGTTGTATGTTGAACGTTGTGAAGAAAAAATAGGAAATTCCCTCATGTTAGCATCTTCTTTGTCCCCATTCATAATTCTCCTAATAAACCGAAGATTTGAACATTACAAATCCCGACCACAATATGGTCAAGGTACTTGTTGACAGGCATTTGTTGGTGTACAGAAGACTCGTCATAGTTGCATTGAGGTAACTCATTAATTGCTGTGCAAGAGTATTACAAATAGAAAAAAAAGTAAGACAGGAAGATAAAATTGAAGCTTGCCGTGAGAAATTCATAAACAGGATGTGTGTGCTGGAGTAGACATTTTGACAAGTGGACTCGTCTTCTTCAGGTGGCATCCTGGTAAAAAACAAGTCCATTTGTCAAAATGTCGGCTCCAGCGCACCTCCCGTTAACGAATTTTCCGGTAACTGGTATGTAGCTATGTATAAAGTACTCCCATCATTTCAAGCCTTAACAGATGAGCCCATTTTCAACTCCCATCATTTTAATATTGAAGTGTACGAGCCAGTTTAGCAGTAACTATGGCATCAGCATTGGCGGAGGAAACATTGCTCGTGAGCGAAAAAATATGATGCACGCAAACAATAACAATGAACCTAGGCATTTGAAGGGGCAGTCAGGTATTCTAACATACGAAACATGCCAGTGCGTAAAAATACTTCAGGAAAAAATCCTGATACAGGTGTCACATTCAGCACGAGAAGTCACAATAATATATGAAGTATTGAATGGAAGAAGCATAAAATTGCACCAGGCGTAACACGATGTCAAGAGAGTAACAAGTAGGCTGTTTAAATGGCCCACCCAGGGGGACATGGCTTGTGCAGACCTAAAAATGATCAAAGAAAAGGTTTATAGGAGTATTAGAACCTACTGGTATTCTTCTGCAAGTAAAGCTTAATTCAAGTCTTTCAAGATCAGAAATTCATCCACAATTTTGATCTAAGTGATGAGTCAACCTGAATCTGAAAGCTTTTAAGGTAACACATTAAGCTCGTCAAAGTGATATCTCATGATCTGATGATCTTGCGATTTTAACCTACCTGGAGCTAAATTACCATCTTCAACTTTTTTTTGTCGTGAGAGTAGAGAAACTAAACTTCTGAAAGCAAATACACAGGAACTTCGGTTATACGTAACCAGGTATCACGACGGCCCGCATTTAACGACAAATCGATTTGGTCCCGACAAAATCCCCATAGAAAGAATGTATTAAAAACCTTGATTATACGACGCAGTTAAACGCTGACCCCGCATCTCACGACGACTTTCAGATTCGGTCCGAAATAAAAAGACACATTTACTAGAATCAAGCGTCGACCGAATATTCACCAGTGCAAAATATGAACCTGTGTTCCCCCAGCTTGACGATAGAAAAGTAGAGATAGAGACAAGATGCCTTCTCAGAATGGAAAATTTATTCTGCTGGAAGTTCATTTGCTTCTACATATGCCTCTATCGCGTGCGTACGTATCAGGGATCGTTACCTAGTCAAGCTCTACCCACACAGAGTAGCTTCAGATGGCGAAAAAGCTAGATTCTTTAGGACGACCAGTACATTGTTCAGGACGAACTCAAGGAGACCACAATAATTTGTTCTTCTTATCAGGAGTTAGCCATATCACAAGTGCCCCCAAAAATTAAATGCTAACATGCCAAATGCACCCAAATATGTTGCTTGAAAACACTGAATGAAGCACAGTAGAATCTCGATAATACGAGTTCGAAGGGAGCAAGCAAAATATTTGTATCATCTTGAATTCGTATGAACCAAAAACAAGTTAAAGCTGATCATAAAGACGAACAAGAGCTTTATTGGAGTCAACTACTTCTTCCTAAAAAAGTCCATGATGTTCTTTTGAATTTTCTTGCTTTCACTGCCTCTCAATAAAGTGCCCCGGTTTCTTCCCTCATGCTGCTGGCGCTTTCAGCGTGTTTACACTTGGCCTCAAGGAAAGGGAAAGCAGCAGAACTTACTGAAAATTCACTCGCTCCTGGACAAAAAAAAAATCACTCACACGAAAGAATTCAAGTCAAAATGCCAGAGCAACATTAAAAATCACTCGCACGAAGAATTCAAGTGAAAATGCCAGAGCAGCCACAAAGCCCATAGAAAATGTTCGCATCTACTGCTGCCGCTTGAGAATTGATTCCATTTAGGCTGTTTCCTGGGTATTAAAATTTATGGAGTTCTAGTTATGCATGCAAAGCATTGAAAGGAAAGTTTACACCTGTACAAACGTTGTTTCTGGAGGTACGCCAGCAGAAGCTACACGAGCGGACGCACTAGCAGCGACGGCGACGAATTCAGCGGGCCGTGAAAAAGTGAGACAAGTTAGGATATGCCGAGTCGCTGCTGCTGCTGCACCTTTTACTTCCGGTGTTCGCAGCGATCGTAATACAAACCAAGCTCTCGAACGCGTTTTTTTCCAAGGCCAAGAGCTTTGTCGTGCTGTGTGTGTAGTTCGCGATTGCACTGACGCAAGCCACCACCGACGCTTATGCCGCCATGCTGAATTTGCAGCTCACTTATATCATGTCGTTTGAGAGCTAGTGTAGCCGGTGTCGCCTGAGCCATGAAGCGAAAAGGCGATCTAACATCGCGTGGCGGAAAAATTGGTCTCAAACTATTTTTTCACGTTGTGGTTTTTGGGCCACTTATACCCTGTCACACAGCCACCACCAAACTTTAAGCGGAAGGCTACACTTGATGGGCAACTTTTTTATTTATGTATAGATCTGAAGGAAATTTTCACAATACAGTCGAACCTCGATATATCAAACCGTGCGGCGATCGCGAAATAGTTCGATATATCCAGAATTCGATATAAAAAATCCCGAAAAAAATGCGTCAACAGCTTGCTGAAAAAAAACAACAAACCGTTCAAGCGTGGTGCAGTAAATACTCACTTGAAGATTCAAACATAGTATTTATTGTGTTGGTTTAAAATATTGAAAAAGAGTAGCCTGCTTTTTGTTGGCTATGGCGTGTTCGACGACAGCGTCCTCAATATAGTCTAGGCGATCCATAAGTGATAGGCCGGTGCCTTCAATCGCACCGCAGTGGCGGCGTACAAGGGCCAAGGCAGCTACGACCTCAGCTGATGTCGGGAGCGGGGCACCATCAGCGCTTGCGGGATCCACCTCGGCAGTCTTCATTTGGCTGCTCAGCAGTCGCTTCGGAACACAATCTCCACATCCGTGAGCTCCACCGTTCGGAGTTAGGCCTGCGACAGGCCCAACTCCAAACGCACAAACACTGCGAGCACAACAACCCATGCCTGCCGATGCTACGGGGGAGGAGCTTGCAACAAGTGCGCAGTGTGCTGTTGACACCATAGAGACTGCAACAACTGCAAGCTGCAAGGCTGCTGCGTGAGTCCGGGTGTAAAACGCGCACATGGCGCGCCCATGCCGGCTCGCCTGACTGCTTTCCCTTTCCCGGCGGCAGCGCGGGCCGCGTCCGAGACAGTCGTCTGCGTCTTTTCCCTCCTACACTTTCCTCCTCAATCTTTACCTCCCACTCCCCCTTCCCCGCGCGAAGCCGTGTCGGTGCCTTCGCATTGAAAGACAATAACAGCTCCGCGCTTTTCTCTTCACTTTCCTCATTCAAAAATCTCTACCGCAAGGCTGCGGCGCGCGTACGCCGCTACGTTAAAGTGGCGCTCTCGGCACCATCGATGTGTGCAGCATTCGTAAACGCCCGCTGCTCTACCGCTACTTTCGAGAGTTGCGGGAAAGCTCGCCACCTGTCCACGGAGCGCGGGCGGTTTGGGGTGGTCGAGTTCGATATATCCATTATATGTCAAACTTTGTTCGAAATCAAAAATC